GGAATTTAACTAATTCTGGATTATAGGATGATATGTAGTTTATTTTACGTAATTATTAAAGCCTGGAGATCTAGATCGTGTTACTGTACTGACATACTTCTGAGTCAAAATGGGATGGAAACAGCTCTAAATGTAGAATGATAAGGTACAGTGATATTTAAGGGTTTTATTTGGACTGCTGTTGTAGATTGTAATGCAGAGGAAGGAGAGGCAGCCACTTTGTGGGTCTGCACCCAACTCCCAATTCTTTCATAGTTTTTGCAGTGTGGCTGCAGGTGCTTCACAAGACAATTGAGTCGGCACATGGCAAATTAACCCAAACTACTTCAGACTTTCAGAATGTCTGAGAACTGGGACTGGACAGAACTGAGAGAAATTTGAGAAATTTTAGAGGTCTTGCTTTGCTTTCTGGGAAGTCAACTCTCTCTTGAAAGAAATTTCTTCTAAATATCAGCCACTATCAGATGTACAGCAGATGTCCTACAAGGCTGAGAGCAGAAGGAAGAGGCCAGGGAACTATCTAAAAGTTAGAGTGGGTCTGGAGAACAAAGAAACCCTCCCCTTGGCTCTGAAGCTGCCATCCTTTCTGTGAAGTAAATATTTCCTGCTGTTTAAATCTGGGGCTTTTGTAAGGAACAGATGATTTGACAGCATAATTTCAGTGCTTGTTGGAAATCAGCCCTAGATCTCTGCCTGCTTGGCCTATCTGGGAGGCCACAGGCGTGCACCATCTGCATCCCTGGGGCAATCCCTTGACAATGGTCTTGGCTCACTGAGGCCTCAACCTGGCCAGATTACTGGCAATAGTGACAAGAATGGTGGGCTGCACCCCAGTCTCTCTGCTCTGTCCTTGGACAAGCTGTGCTGGAACTTGCTTGATAAGCATCTCTGAGAAGTCAGGTGCAGTCCACGTTATCTCCCAACCTATATGTTGTATGTGACCCATGGCCTACCTGCCTCTGACCTGCAGCATGCCTGCCAGCCATGCATGTTTTACATGATCCATTATTTGATTGGAGAGTCCAGAGAGATAGACCTGCCTTTTAGCCAATTACAGTGTCCTTGTTGGGTAGGAGGACTGTTGGGAGATGCCCTTCTGCCTTTCCCCTTCTTAGTCTATGTAAGTTTTTGTTTGAGCATGTCCACTTATTGTAATGCAATCTGACTGTCTCTGGTGGTTTGTGCTACTGCTTACACCATTGTTTCACAACCTTGGTAGTTTTAGGGGCCTCACGGTCAGAAACCCCCTGAGAAGTGCTCAGATACAAACTCTACTGAAGGAGTGTTTTCATCTTATGTTTAAAAGAAAAATTCAGTGGGAAATGGTCTGAATTAAAATGGGAAACAAATTTCACACATTAGAAACAGTGGAGTCTAAAAAATATTACTGAAATGACATTTTTACAGTGCTGAAACTATTGATATAGTAGTACTTAGGCAAAAGTAAATATTCATCAGAAAGAAAAGGAAGTGAGAATGGAGCAAGAAAATGATGGAATAAGGCTCCTCAATGACCATGAAGGAGACACTAATTTGAAGAGCTAATCACATAACAAACTACCTTCACAAGAGCTGTAGATGTCAGGCCAGTGCCTCTAAACCTGCTTTTGACAGCAAGTTGGGTCCAGTGACCTCAGCTGATTGGACTCAGGGTCTATCCAGCATCTCTCATGACTAGTTGCAGTGCTTTGTGCTGTGGATCTCTCTAAGCACCACACCATAGTAGGATAGACTTTGGTCCTGTCCCCATGCTGTGCTAATCTAAGTGGATGTCAGGAGTTATTCTATCATGTTATCACGTTGCTCCCAATGGCCACAAGACTTTGCACTTGGATCTCCCATGACTCTGGGATGTAAAATGTAAGGGCAGACTACATCTTTCTGCACACTTTTTTGGATCATACTTAGTGTTTGCCAACCAAGGATTTGTAACAAACCTGAACATAGGAACTTCCTGAAACTTAGGTAGTGATGGCACTGGCACCATGCTGATGGCAAACTGTTATTTAAGGTGCTAGCAAATGTTGAAGTGCCCCAAGTATTCACAGGCTTAGAGAAAACAAGGAGACTGGACTTTCTAAAAGGTTAGCATCAAAGAAAACCAGATAGAATTAGAAAATATATCTAATCCTTCATAGTACGGATAATTTCTTATACAAACATCAAGAACTTTCAGAGAACTATGAATTCACCTAACAAAAGGTCAGACGAAACCATCTACCTAGGATATGGCAATGTCAAATACTTACATGAGTACTTTCAAATGGTTGTTTTAAGGAAGCACAGCAAACTTGAAGAGATCACAGAATCAGAGCTTAATGCTTTAACAGAGAAATTTTAACAGGATAATGAAAATGATTATTAAGAATTAACCATGAATGCTCTAACTAAAAGTGCACCAATTAAAATTAATAACATATTAATGGAAAATCAGAATAATCAGTGGATTCAAAGACAGGCTCTGTGTAAATACCCAGTTGGTGGAGGAAAGAAACTACACAGAGAAGCACACAAAGTTTATGGGAAGTTTGGGATAGCATGAAGAGAACAAAAATTCAAGTAATTTAGGTGTAAAAAAGGACTTGCCAATGTCAAGGGGGATAGAAACTATATTCAAAGACATTTAAAAAGTTCCCACACTTAAACAAATATTTGAGTATTCAAATATAGGAAGATCAGATATTCTGCAGGAGCTAAAGGCAGGGAAGGTCCCGGGCTGTTGTCTATGAAAGGCCCCAAACTGCAGAAGCCCTGCTGGCACAGCTCAGGGATGCATACATTTCAGATTACAGCTTCAGGCAGTAGTGCAGAGACCCTGCTCAGCAACCTTACTGTATGTGATTACCAGTGGCAGCCAATGGTGTCATGAGTAACAGGAGGAGGGGAAGAATTTGAAGAAGGAGCCCAAGTTTGCATTGTGAAAAATTCCCACTTCTAGGGTTCTAGAGGCAGGAAATGGAAATCTATTGTTTGTACCCCATCTCCCTTGCAGTGCTATGTTGCATGAGCAAGGGTGCTGGGTCACTGTTGTTCTACTGGTTCTATGGGGTTCATGACATAGATTTTTTTCCTGGCTAGTTTGAGTGCTACTGTGAGGACTCAGGAATAGGATTTGATGGGGATTTCTGTTCCTTAAGGGAACCTGGATTCTCATTGTGACTTTTCTTTTAGGATGGATCCATAGTGTTGCAGCTTATGATGTAAATTCTTTCTTCAAAGTAAACTGCATTGAGGGCTCCAGGTGCTGTTGTGCTTCCTGGGTTCCCCAGTGGCAGCTGTAGATACCTCCTAGTGAGCTCTAAGAGGCCCTGCAGATGGACTCTGCTGAGGCTTTGCCACCTGCCCTCTTCCCAACATTGAGGACTCTTATAGTGGATCTAAATTACTGTTTTTCTTTTTTCACCCTTTCTGTTTTGCCACCCCAAGATTCCTTAGACTACTGCTTTCCATGTTCTCCTAATGCATTGCATGTTTTTCCTCTACCATTCACCTTGAGATGCAGCTGTTTATTTGTTCTCTGATTCTCCTTTGTGGAAAAGTGGACAAATGTTTTTCCTTTTACTTTTTCTTTGTGGAAAAGTAGGAAAAAAGTAGGCACCTCTACTCTGCCATGTTATCAACTATCCATTTATCTCTTTTCTCCCACTTTGAGAGTGAGGGAACTTGAGGATACACAGATATCAAATACTGGCTACTACATAGACTGAAGTTACTTCCATGCAAAAATATACTCCCTGGAAATATGTATGGTTTCAAAAATATGTACTTCTGATGGAGTGTATCTTGTTTTCTGAAGATTAGATTGATATAAAGAAATCAATGCATTTAAACATCATCAACTCTGAAATCATTTCTGGTAACTGGGAAATTCTTCTGTTATTCTCTATTTTAGAGAAAATTTGTGCATTCATTTTAAAAAGAGTTGTACATGTCCCCTTTTGCTTAGTCAAAGAACCTTGTGGAGACATGATCCTTTAATGAGATTGTTCCTGAAATGCCGATAAACAAAATGATGATTGATATGTTCTTGCCTAGAAATAAGAAGACAGATCTTATTTATTTCTTGAAGATAAAGCAATTAAGTAAGAATTATGACATAATTCTCATGATAGTCCATGTTAAAAATTGATCAACTCAACTGCCGTTTTTATCTCCGTTACCAGCTTGCCTTGGTGTTGACAATTGAATAACATGCTAAAAGTACATTTGATTGCTTGGGTTTGTCAATTATTTGTTACCATTTTTAGGCAGTTTTCCTGGAGGTGCCAACACAGAGAAAAATTCATTGACATCTGAGGAATTTTCTCCATCTTTTTGTAGGGATTAGGGACTTAGTTTGATGTTCATTTGGTTCTACATTTGTCCTGTTAAATGATGTCATTATTGACATAAGATGCAAAGTGTGGCTGAGAATTTTTACAATTGTTTTCTCAGTGCTAAAGCATTCTGGAATTCAATTTTCAGTTTGACACCTTGTTGAATAGCAAAGCCTTTAAGATCTACCAATTTTTTTCCCAATCTGTTTACTTCACCTCATTTTTATTCTGTGATGTTCACAAGTTATTGGAAAGTAGGCATTGTTCTTCAACATTTATAAAGTTTCGAGTGTCTCAGATGTGTTTAGTAATGAAATACTTTTTAAAGTTGACAAAGTATATTCTTAACTTCAGAGTGCCAATGTAAGTTTGTGAGAAGGGATACAATTTATCTTTCTAATGGAGCACTTGCAATTGACAAGAGAATATAAAATTGAAATTCATTTCATTGTTTCTTGTTACATCCAAAGTTATTAAAAGGCAGCATGATAAACTACACTAATGTTTGGAAAACTTTGCTCTTGAGAAAAAAGAACACTACTCTTTAAAAACACAGATGTTTTTCATTATTTAGAAAAACCTGTAGGTAAATGATTGCAAATGAGATTTTGGTTAGTAGAATGCCTATTACTATATTATATGAACACCTAATATGATTAGGTTACATAATTTTCGTTTTTATAGATCTGCACAAGTATGGTTCAAGAGTTCATTTTATGGCATGTTCCTAGGAAAAAAGTAACTAAATGTAACTGAATTTTAAATGAATTTGAAAGTGGTAGAGATAGGACATTCATTTTGATCTTGATAATGCTTATGAGAGTGAAAATGTAGAGCACAGTTAATCAAGATCCAGTGACAAAGATAATAGTGAGAAACAAGAAGAAAATCAATCCAACAAAGGACAGTATTCACAATGGCTTTGTATTCTTCAGATAATTCTTTTTCACATCACTGCCCAGCGAAAGTCTCTTCTGGTAAAATAAGATCAATAACCGTTTCAATGCTGCTTTTGCTACATCTCAAGGGTTTGATAATTTTGATTTTATTTTAATTTTTAAAAGTTTTTGCTTTTCTTATTAATTTCCTTACTGACTCATAGATCATATAATAGCGTTGTTTGCTTCAGGAAGCTTTTTGATTTTCTTGTTTATTTCTTCAGCTACACACTGGGTCATTCAGCAACATGTTTTTAAACTTCCTGTCACTGTAAATTTTCTATTTTTCTGTTATTGATTTTGTTTTATGGCTTTTCACTTAAGGGATGTACAGTAACTATGTAGTGGAGACTGTCCTATCCAGATGTGAAGATCCAATGCAGTGTGCGTCTCTACTTCCACATCAGACATGGACTGCCAATGAAACCCTTGAATGTACCTCCCCAGTAGTATGCTGGACTGTCTGCCAATGTCCACACCTACTATGTCAGGATACATTTGAATAGCGGAATGATGGACTTATGAGTGATTGTATCAGACTATACTATTGTAACAACATAGGGGAAATCAGTGGGAGTTGGTGGAGATTTGGGGAGGAGACTGAGAGAAATTCAAAAGCCCATGGAACTATAGCATGGAATAATAAAATAAAATTTTTTAAAAAGATATAACAAAAAGCAATAAATTGTGCGCAAAAGGGCTTACTGCAATGCTTTATCATTATGTGCTAATGTAGTTCTGGGGATTTTCAATAAAACCACAATATGTACCAGCTTAATGACTAATCTTACTTGTCTGAATTTCAGTGTTTCCACATATAAAATTAGTATAGTAGCTATGTTAGATACATGATTTTGCATATAAATGAAAGGAAATGTACACATCAAATCTTGAAGTAGTCATTGAATCTTGTTTTATTTAAATCTCCTATTTACTGAAATTTAACTACCTATTACATTGCTAGCAGGTAATATTCTGTTGGGACTTCCTGTTTTATTGTTTATTTAAAACAATTTTCACTAATCATAAAGGAAAACATTATACACTTATAGAATTTATGGCAGTATGAATTTTGTGAGATACTTTTTCTGAAGTTCTTTTTTTCATGGCACAGGGGTGACTTTTCCGGCACGTTTACTTGTTAATTAAGAGATCTTGTCATAAAGCCTTACATTATTAACAAAATAAAGCACTCTTTTAAGTAAAATTTTTATATATTCCTAACCTCTTCTAGGTAATATTATTGAAAGAAAAAAACAAAAGCAGAGTTCATATGACTGCCTTTTGAAATGTAGACTTTTTAATGTCTAGGAATGGTACTGATGATTGATAATTCAATTTGAAGAAGGAAAAATGAAAATATGTATCATCTTTCTTTTCATAGTGACTTCAATTTAAAAAGAACACACATTTTTCCCTCAGAATAGATGGCACATAGTGGTAGGAAAATCAGTCAATATAATCAAAATGAAAGATAACCAAAGAAATTTTTGTTGTATTTCTCTCAGAGGTAAACGCATACAAACTCAGCTAAGATTTGTAGATCATTTAGTGAACCATCTCTTTCCTCCTAAAAAAGGAGAAGTACTTCCCAAACAGATCGTGCCAAGTTTTGGTCTTACTCTTCAACTGGAAACTCTGGAAGGGGGTGGAGGGATGACACTGTGGTGTGGCATGTTACGCCACATGTCATGCCTGTATCTGGATCTGAGTCCCAGTCCTGGCTGCTTCATTCCCAGTGCAGTCCCTGCTCTGGCTGCAGCCGCTGTAATCTTCTGGAGACTTGGCCAGTGGGGTGAAGGATCTCTTCCCAACTGTCTTTTTCTCACTGTGTGGCATTCTTCCTTTCAGATAAATCAACTCATCTTAGCAAAAACAAAACCAAGATGAGGTGAGGAAAATTGTTGAGGATGACAAGAATCTAGACGTCTTGAAAAATTTGTTTGAAAGGTAGAGTGGCAGGGAGAGCCACAGAGAAGGATCTTCCATTTGCAGGTTCCCTCCATAAATAACTTCAGTGGCCAAGGCTGGGCCATGCAGAGCTCAGGAGTCAGGATCTTCAGCCAAGTCTCTCACATGGATGCAGGGACATGAACGTTTGGGCCTCCTCCACTGCTTTCCCAGGCACAATAGCAGAGAGCTGTATTGAAAATGGGAGCATCCAGGCCTAGAAGCAGTGCTTGCAGGGGATTCTAGCATTGTAAGTGGCAGCTTAACCAATATGCTACAACACGGGCCACGAGACCACTTTCTTAACCCAGGACATTCGCTAATCTCCAGCATTTCTCTAGGACTGATTCTGCTGTTAGAGTGTCTTGGGGGCATTCTGGTATCCTAGCTTTGTCATAAGAATATTATCAGATCTGCTTATTGGCATTTGGAACTATGTGACTCTGACAATTAGATAGTGGGCATTTTTTTTTTAAAAAAGATTTATTTATTTTTTATTACAAAGTCAGATATATAGAGAAGAGGAGAGATAGAGAGGAAGATCTTCCATCCAATGATTCACTCCCCAAGTGACCATAACAGCTGGTGCTGCGCCGATCCAAAGCCAGGTACCAGGAACTTCATTCCAGGTCTCGTACGCAGGTACAGGGTCCCAAAGCTTTTGGGCTGTCCTCAACTGCTTTTCTGAGGCCACAAGCAGGGAGCTGGATAGGAAGTGGAGCTGCCGGGATTAGAACTGGCGCCCATGAGGGATCCAGATGCGTTCAAGGCGAGGACCTTAAGCACTAGAACATGCTGCCGGGCCCTGTGGGAATTTTTTTTTTTTTTAGCATTGTCTGTTCTCTATTGTTGGAAGTGATAGACAATGTTATAAGTTAATAATTAATATGAGCTTATCATTTTCTCTTTAGTTTTCAGTGGTACTTAACAACTGGGAACTTACTTTGTAATTCTCATTACTAATCTTCACTAATTTACTCATGCATTTCATGTAATAGGTCACAAAATTGACTTCATCGGTTTGTGTGCTCCATCCCAATCCATCTCAGATAACTGGTCAATCAGATATTATTCTTATCCTCTGTCTCTCTGTGTAATAAGCCTGTCTTACCTTCTGGTAGGCGTATAAACAAATCTCACAATTCCATCTAGAGTTCTTTCTTTCCTAGGACTACTTGTGCTTTGTATTGGATCTTTAACCAGAGATAGTGTTTAGGATGAACATTTGTGCATAAATTGAGTCGTTAATTTGGAAGGCAATGTCAAAACGTAATGATGGATAATTGTCAAAGTAGGAAAGAATAGGCGGAGAAGACAAAAAAATTATCTTGTTCAGTGAAGTTATCACGGTGATCAACTATAGGTGAAATCTGCTGACAAAATCTGCGATGCAAGCATGCCTCAGAATCACACTTGTAAAGAGGGCAAAGAGCTGGGAACTTTCTCCACTCCTAATCGGTGACTAAGTGTTACTCCGCACGTCTTCTGCATTCCCCTGTAGGAACACAATTAGGTAGGCAGAGTCAGAGGGCCAGCAACGTGAAGAGTGAATTGTACAATTAAAGTAGGACATGAATGATAGCACATTAAAAGGAAAAAAAATATATATCAGAAAGACTTAAAGTAGCCAACAGTTCTAGTACTATGCACACATACAAAAAAATAGGAATTGTTGTCTTTGATAAATTAAGTATGCATGTCTTTTTTTTTATTTTTTTTTTAAAGATTTATTTTTATTATTTTGTTATTGGAAAGGCAGATGTACAGAGAGGAGAGACAGAGAGGAAGATCTTCCATCCGATGATTCACTCCCCAAGTGAGCGCAACGGGCCAATGCTATGCCGATCCGAAGCCAGGAGCCTCTTCCGGGTCTCCCACGCGGGTGCAGGTTCCCAAAGCTTTGGGCCGTCCTCGACTGCTTTCCCAGGCCACAGGCAGGGAGCTGGAAGGGAAGCGGGGCTGCCGGGATTAGAACCGGCGCCCATATGGGATCCCGGGCGTACAAGGCGAGGACCTTTAACCACTTGCGCCACCGCGCCGGGCCCAGTATGCATGTCTTAATTTATGGGATACTCTACTTTTAAATGACAGATTTTTAGAATGTGTGCTGTGCTGTACTCACACATTCATTTGGTATCTAGAATTTAAAATGTTCTGAGTTTGTAAGATTTACAACTTGGTTCTTTCTTCCCTGGGACAAATTTTCTTGACATGATTAGATTCTGCAAGTTGTCTGTATCAATTTCCAGAAATGCATAGAGATATCAAAATCTTACTTAGAATTAAACTGAAGCACTTGTGTTATATCAAGTATTGGAACAACTTTGGCAGATGTAGGAATTCAGAAGAATTTCAACTGCATATAACTTTAAGACATAAATTGGGAAAAAGCATTCCAGCTGCTTAAATATTTTTAGTTCTAGGCTGACATGACATAAAGATAAAAGAAAAATGAAATTGCCATGATTTTAGGCATTAAACAATCTATTTACACATTGAACAATCTATTGATATTTAAGGAAATAAATTAGAGCTAAAGATTATGTGATGAGCTAGCCTTCCTTTTCAATGAAAAGAAATATTTTTGAGCTCACAATATCCCAGAAAATATTATGCTTATGATTCTAGATGTGTTTTATTTGAATAAAATATTGAGACACTGAAAACAAATATATTAATGGCATTGGGAAATTTTAATTATTGAAAAATCAAAGGCTGTTATAAGGTTTCAGAAGTTATACAGATGTTATATGCTCAGAGAAACAAATCATGTTATACACTTAAAGATGGCACAAAGTGTATATGTTGGGGCCTGTGCCGTGGCATAGGTGTGTAGAACTGTGGCCTTCTGGCCTGGAATCCAAAGTGGCACTTGTTGGAATTCAAACTGCTCCCCTTCTGATCCAGCATCCTGCTAACTCACTTGGGAAATCAACAGAAGGTGGTCCAAGTGTTTGGGCCTCTGTACCCATGAGGAATACCAGAAAGAAGCTCCTAGCTGCTGGAATCAAATGGGCCCAGGTTCCACTGATGTGGCCATTTGAGGAATCAACCATCAAATGCAAGAGCTCTATCCCTCTTTTCTCTGTTTCTCTGCCTTTCAAATGAAAGTAAATCTTTCAAAAAGTTTAGGTACATAGTGGCACTTACATGCATGCAGATCTACACATATATTCTCATGTATAGCCATGAGAGTAGGCGTATGTGTGCTTACTAATAAACACATAATATATAATCGAGTACATAGGTATATGTTACCTGTAGGTATATACACATATAGCACATACATGTTACATGTTGTCACAGTCCAACTAACAAAAGTAAGAGCATATTTTACGATAAACCATTTATTGTCTTATTGCTAATAAAGAAAAAGCATGTTATTCAAGTTGACAACTTAAGGAGTAAAAGGTTAAGCATGTTTATTAACACATTTTTAATTGAAATAATATGGAGGATAGAAAATGATAGGAGTGGTATTAACTTTATTTTTGTTTATGAAATAAATAGTAGATCAAAGACACTAATATGAAGATCACAGAATGATGAATTTTCAAAACAGCTACACAATTATAGTAAAAAACACAG